TTGTGTTTTATTTAGAAAAAAAGATAAAAGCCGGTAGTGAGAATCGAACCGCATCATTAGCTTGGAAGGCTAGGGGTTATAGTTGACGTCGATTCATCATTTTGAACGTCTTTAATTCAAAACCGAACATAAAACTTTGGTTTCATTCGGCTCCTTTAAGTAAATTCCTACATCTAAGATATGAACAAAATTTCATCCCATAACAAATATGTCAGCTTTTTGTCCGAATACATGAATCGCTTTTTAGATGATTCATTGAGAAGAAGGTGATTATAGCAATTTTTTAGTTACTTCGTTTGCTATTTCATAAGAAAAATGATTTCGTTTCCACCAAGCTAAAACAATATGTAGATGTCTCTAGTAAACCAAAGTCATTGTTTAATAGCTATTTTACTTCAATTTCTTTCTCTAGAAATAAAAAATGGAAGATTTAGTGCCTTTTTGAGAAACATTCATTTATTTTATGGTTTGCTACACAATCGTTTTCAACAACGCATTCACATAATAAAATATTTTACACGTATATCAATAATTTTTTCATACTTTTTAAATACACATTCTTCTAAAAATAACTATTCAAAACTCTTTTGTTCCCTACAACAATGGTTGTCAAACATGCTCTAAGTCACACTCAGAAATTGACTTTCTATCTTCAGCCGTGGATCCTTTATTCATATTTATTTAATTGAAAGTTTTTTTTCCCCCCAAAATAGAAAAAATTCGGTCACATTATAGTTAAAAACAATATATTTATAAAATCGTATTGAGTAACCGATTTGGTATGTTCACTAAATTAAAGAGTTCTATTATAATATTTCGGTGAATAGATTAAGATACTTTATCTCACCTAAAATAAAACCCTACATCATAGCGAATTAATTTTGTTGTCTATCATAAACCGATGAACGTTGTGGTCGACTATATGAAAAATGATATATCTTCAAAATTTTAATGTTTGCCTTCTCCTCAGGCCACATGAGACTCTGAGGTTTGGCTCGACTTGTCCGGCAACCCGTAATTTGACGGCTCGGGCCACTTGCGAGCTATTGACTCAATTGGCACCCCATGATCAGATGAAGAGTTTGTGTGAAGTGATTATTTGAAAAGTGATTTTCTTGAAAAATATGTGTTTAAAAATTAGAAAAAAGTTATGAAAATTCATTTTTTTAAACGATTAATTCATAGAGGTTGATATTTTGCTCTTCAAAAAATATTCAAGTGATCGAAAATTCATTTTTTTAAACGATCAATTGATCGAATTTTACGAACAGGCAAAGGAGAAATCGTAATTGACTCGTTCAATCCGAATTTGAACAATCAAATGGAAGCTTTGTGCAATCGAAATCAAATTTGTCTTAAATATTTGTTGCTTTACTTCACGTAACGATGCTTCGTTATTTCCTGAAATAACCAATGTTTAATCAATATAGAATTTTAGAGTTTGTTTGATATAACTTTTTGAAGATATGTTTCATTAAAAATCTTTTTTTTTTTTTCGTAAAAGATATGGTTGAAAGGTATAAAAAAAGATACGAGTCCATAAATAAAATTATGTTTTGAGAGAATATGTGGTTGAAAACTATTTTGAACAAAATGAATTTTAAAGAATCTCTACAAAACAAGAGCTTAATCAAATATATCCATCTCGTTCAATTCCGCAATTTTCTTTAAAGTAAGCCAATTTCACATTAAATTATTGGTATAAACTTGTCGTAGAAATAATATGAAGGTAGTAGGTAGTAATATTTAAGTTTCGAGTCAACAAATTTAGGCTTCATATTAATGTAAATGTTGACATACAAAAATAAGGCTCAATTAAATGAGGCCCAATGATTAAACGAGACCCAATTATTAAGGCCCAATTATATGGTCCAAGAAATGGAGCCCATTTAGAAAAATTGAGGAATTGACCCAAATGAGACCATTGTAAAATATAGAAACATCTCACGAGCAGAGGATTATCATCGCTCAAGCCTGCAGAATGCTCAGGATTTGAGCGAATGAAGTGCCTTGTTGTCGCTTAGAACGATGGTCTCACTCTCGCCCAAGCCTTGAGACGCCCAAGGTCTGAATAAATACAACATTTTGTTCAGTTATTGAAGCGGTTATTGAGCAACTTTATCATACCCTACGATCCAAGAATCTCGATTACAAACGGTTAAACAACAAGAGTAATAAGAACAGTTGCTAACGACAGTTCTTTGACAAGTCAGCCATCACAAAGAAAGTGGGTAATTATAGAGCGCAAAGCAATTTTCAAGCAGTTCTACGAGAGAAAACCGGCAAAGGAGCATAAGAAGGAAAATAAGACATAGAAGAAAAGGCTCCGAATCAAACACTCTCAATAGAGAATATGTAATTTCAATTCATTTACTTTCTATTTGCAAACTTTCAATTTATTTCGTGTGCTTGTGCCCCTTGGAGGCGTTTTGCTTCTTTCCAATTGTAATATTCATAAATAAAACATTCATTTTTGAGACTTTGTCTCAAGATGTTTGTTCCTTACACAATCGTCTGAACCTTTCTTTTAATTGTTAGCGATAATTCGCGCGAAACAGTAAACAATAATTTTTTAAAAGTGACTATGAATAAGCTACGTACAAGTTGACAACAATTAATTTTAAGCACGGTAAGAAAATTTTCGGTTTGCTAGTTCGAATAAGTATGTTTGACAAATGTTTACATATAATCACAACTCACAACTCAAAAGTATTATCCGCTAATCCGTCAGTTATTCTCATATGTTTATGAACACTTGCCAAACACATACTTAAACAAACAACTGAACAATGTTTCGTACCCGATCACAAGTGTTAAAAGATTCCAACAGGATTATATTGTAGGCATTTTGTGAATACAACTGATGCTCGATAGATTCCAATGTGGTAGAGTACAAAAGAATAGGTACAAACCTGATATTAAGTGACCACTGTTGCCTGCCGTCTGCCGGGTAATGATTCTTGGAACAAAATATATCCGACTACTAGATCTCTCCCACGTGCAGCCATGCAATATTCTTGCTAAGTCGTAACGGAATAACATTTTGTCTATTTTCGTTACAATTTATGATGTACTACTTCTTAGTCTTAGAAATAATTAGGTAATTGTACTTTAATTTTACTTAATAGATAATTGCATTTTAATTTAATTTCAATTGGGTAACTTCACTTTATTAAATTTTAATGACGTGATACTAAATTAATGATGATCATTACATATAAGGGTTAGTTGCTAACGTAGAATAAATCCAATTTTACTAAAATAAATGACGCTCATTATTTATTGACTGTCACGTCATCGATTCTCATCAATTCAGGTGACTGAAGTGGAATGAGTTACTCGATTAAGGTCAAATTAAAGTACACTTATCCAATTGAAAATGGAATTACAATTACCTGATTGATATTAAATGAAAGTAAAATGACCGCGATTGGAAATTATTCGCAATATAAAGACGTTTTTATTATTATGGACTTCTAAACTCGACCTTCGCGCATATTAATTTACTAAATATTTTTCAGTTGGGTTGTTATAGGGGTTATCATTGTAAGTGCCCAAATTATTCAAACCGCAAAGACTTGAATCTAGAGAAAATAAGGGTATTTAATGGGGAGAGACATTTTTCTATGGGGTGAGCCGAGCGTGAGTCAGCTCGCTCAACCAAATTGTGACTCGTCTTGCCCCACGAACTCTCTTTGGTGGACTTTGAATTTGACCTTAGATTTTTAACAAATTTTTAAGTTATACCTAATAAACGCTTAAATACTTTCATATAACTACGCACTAGACACAAAAACTAGAGAAACTTCGATTCTAAAACAATCATATCGAAACAAAAAAGACTAATGCATGGTATTAAAGAAGGGTGAGTTTCACTAGGCTTAATTACCAACGATGTTGATATTTAACGTGATGCCGCTTTTAGCCGCCTACGTATAACTAATCATGTTTAATTAATTTATGAATTCTAAGTAATTCATGTAGATAGTCTATCAATTATGCCTCTTGTGCACCGTCGGATGGCGGCAGTGTTGACAACCGGCCTATGTGTTGAAATCCAGATCATTGATTGGAAAAATTGTTGTTAAGATTAATGTATAAAAATCAGTTAACTCACATGATGTCAAAGAAGTTGTCAAACTTGATGTATACGTAGCATGATTGGATAATCTATAGATGCCCTTAACTATAATGATGAAATTTTGATGCATTGAACGATAAATCATGAGTCCTATTGTGTACGTTGATAACAATCTCCACTGGTGATAAATATTGATATTCTGACCTTAAACGTAATGCTTTTTTGTGTGTAGTTATCAAGGGACCATCCTAGGATGACAATACAAAAGACAGGAGACACTTTTGTCAGTAGCTGGCCGAGTTCTTACTCGGTCATGGTGCTTGTTCGACCAAGTTAAGACCTCGACCCCCACTAAACCAAACTCTTCTCGAAACTATATTATATTGTGTCTTGTTCGAAAATTAAGGGATGTGATAAGAAACACTTACACCACTTTAGATTTACTGTTCGGCATTGTCTAATTCATCTTAACGAGTTTTCGTCAAAGACTTGGGCTCATGCATTTGTAATGGCATCTATAATATAAAGAATATATATAGCACCAGTCTAGATGACTACATTTGATATGTTCAATTAAATGAAACATTTGATTATGAATTTAAATGATTCTATCATTTAATATCATATAGTTGCCACCTAACATAACTTGACATCAGTGGGGGCAGAATAGCATTAATATAGAAGGGTGGATTGGGCCTTAATAGTTCAAAGGCATGTAAAAATGTTGTTCGAAAAAGCCAAAACGTCACTTAGTTTTGTTCACAGTTGTTAAGCCTTCACTTAAAAACAAAGGTATTTTGCAGCTTACCCAAAATTACTATCTGAATATTTTTTCAATATATGCATGGCAAATCAACTCTCAGCTGTCTTATAAATACCGTGCTGAAGCAGAAGACTCAGACAATAGTTTCTTTACAATATGGATGGACTAGCTGGTACAGATGATTTAGAGTCAGCCAGAACTGAACTATCAGAGTTAGGTGGTAGTTGGAGATCATCGTCCCGGTATCACAGGTCGAGTTTTGGAAGCGATTCAGCCTCCAGTTTAGCAGAAAATGTATATGTTGATGATGAAACAGTCTTAAAGTGGGCTGAGATTGAAAAACTGCCGGTATTTGAACAGTCGAGACTATCTGTATTTGATGAAAAAGATGAGGCCAATAGTAAAGGGAAAAGGGTTGTTAATGTTACCAAACTTGGCCCTCTGGAGAGGCAGATGTTCATTCAAAAGATCATTAAACACATTGAACACGACAATCTTAGACTGTTGCATAAAATGAGGAAGAGAATTGACAAGTGAGGATTCTTTTTCCTTTGACATGCAATAATCTATGTGGGCATACAAATTTTTTAATTTAAATTTTGTTCTCAACATGACCGGTAGGGTACATTTTTCATCAAAGAGTCGTGTTTGATATATGCTTGCAGAGTCGGTGTAAGATTACCCAGCATCGAAGTGAGATTTACCAATTTGCGCGTTGAAGCAGAATGCCAAGTAGTTCATGGGAAGCCCCTTCCAACTCTTTGGAATTCTTTAAAAGACATGCTTCCAGTAAGTAGTTGAATTCTTCCAAATCAATTTAGTTTCTTAACTCATTTGGTCCATGTACCATGTAAATATACGCCATGTTTGTGTAATTCAAAAACCTTTCCGTAAGTATGTTTAGAAGTATTAAGCAAGTTGATTATCAGCTCAAGAAAGGCACGACTATTAAAGACGTTTTAAGGCGTAAATACTAACCAGTGCACAACAAGATGTGCTACTACTCTTAACATGGCATTAGAGCTTAGAATGCTCAAACGGGCTCGGAAATTTTGAACCCCGTGTGTGCTCTACGTCTGCATTCTTGTTTCTATGTTGTAGTTAAATACGATGTAGTGTATTTATGCTAGATTTTCATGTTTTCTGGTCGCATAGACCGTGGAGTGAATTCATCCATATGTACAAATCGAAGCATTGTCCAAAATGAATTTTCACTTTTTGATATATCTGTTTTGTGAGCAGGACCTTACCAGGATTACCGGTCTTTCATCAGAAGAGGCTAAGATAAGAATCATTGACGATGTTAGTGGTGTCATTAAGCCTGGAAGGTATATTACAGAAGTTATCCGTTGTTCAGATTAACTGAACATTGAATTGCTTCAACCATTTTAAATTTCCAACATAAAATTCTGTGTGAATCCCTTTTCATTTCATGTCCTTTCTCTGTTCTTATATATTATTCAGAGAAGTTGCTTCAATTGTGCTTGCTCGATAAAATGTCTCAATCAGTACATGCAATTTACCATCTTCTTTCCAGTTTGTAGCTTTGAGCTGTAGCATTTGCAGTCAATTGTGTCTTGCATTTTTGAACAAGTTTAGCCATACTTATTGGATGATGGTGTCCAATAATTGACTCATTTTTTGGGTTCTTGATGCAGAATGACTCTACTACTTGGTCCTCCAGGGTGTGGGAAGACCACTTTATTAAAAGCACTTTCAGGAAATTTGAACAAATCTCTCAAGGTAGCTCTTTCCCTGTGCATATACATGTTACTTTTTTGTGTCGTTAGAATAGTTTTCTGATCTCATTTGCCTAACGTCCAGGAGTATTAGTTTAACCGGTATCCCATTGTGATGTTTGTTCTTTAAAATCAGTTTTATGGCAATGGTTAACATCTAGGGTTCTTTATCTTTATTTATCTCCAATAGGTTACAGGTGACGTTTCATACGATGGATATAAACTAGAAGAGTTCGTGCCCCAAAAAACTTCAGCCTATGTGAGCCAACATGATCTGCACATCCCTCAAATGACTGTCAGGGAAACGCTCGATTTTTCTTGTCGCTGCCAGGGAGTTGGAAACAGAGCAGGTTTGCCTTTCAATACATTCTAATTTTAACAAGATAGTCTTGTGATAAAACTGAACTTTTTTTTTTCTTCCTCTAAAGAAATTATGAATGAGCTCACTAGAAGGGAGAAAGAGGGAAAAATTATTCCAGATCCAGATGTAGATACTTACATGAAGGTAGTTTCATCGAACTGAACCTCTTCTTTCATATTCGTTAATTTTTATAATATACACTATACATTTAGTGCAGAGGACTTTGATTTTGAAATTTAGCGTTCTGCAAGAAATCGTAGTGCTTCTATTTTCATACAGTACATCATACATCATGGTTAGGTGGATTTATATGCCTCAACCTCGACTCAGTGGAGGGGTTTGGATTTCCCGACCCTCTTTATTGATATGAAATTAAGTAGAAAGAGGAGGGGGACATTAGAAATTTTTACCAGAGATTACATCATGAAAAGAAATAAATAAGTTTAAGAGCCTAAAGTGTGGAAGTACTACTTCCACTTTACATGAATTAACGAATGAATTAAACTAAATGCACAAAGCAAAGAAAAAGCCATTTCTAAGGATCATGTTATTCTCCTGCATGTACGGGATGCCTTGAGCTTCTATAAAACTCCAAACTCCGTAATAGAGCTCTTCAACTTGAAATTCCTTCATTTGCTAATTGATCTGCTACTCTATGACCTTTTCTATAGATGTGTGAAAACCAAAGGATTAATTTTTTTTGCCTCAAGTCTCTAATGTGTCTGGAGACTTCTCTGCAACTTGTAGCATACAAAAAATTATTTGANTCCTCATTTGACACATCAAGTTTATCTATCTTCAACGTGTTAATGACAAACTATGCGCCTTACCATTGTAAAGAGCCAATCACACAATGTCATCAGTACACCCATTGTCCTCGTTTGCCAATCAACAGCACAGTTAGTCTATTAATTCATCGCGAGTTTTCATGTCAAGATCATGAGATTGGTGAGGGTGTCTTATTCAATCTTTGGTCAAGAAGCGTGATTTTGATATTTGGACAATGAAGACCATTGTAATTTGAATTGGTGTAATATGTAATTCTAAACACTTCGAAGTCCCAGTCTTGGACACTATAACCCAACAAGGGCACTGGATGACTCCAATGTTTTTGACAATTTCTCCACAAACCATAAATTTTAATCATGGAGTTGCTAAAGCTGAAAGCCATAATATTCTTGCATTTCTTTGCAGGCAATTGCTGTGGAAGGGCAAAAGGCAACCGTTCAAACAGACTACATACTGAAAGTACTTTCTTGCCATATCTGGCACTCAATTTCTTCTCGACATTTAATAGAACAGCGAAGGTTGATCGTTTCCCCTGTTCTGTTCCCAAATTTCAGATTCTTGGACTTGATATATGTGCTGACACACTTGTTGGAAATCAAATGAGGATAGGTATCTCTGGTGGTCAAAAGAAAAGACTGACAACAGGTAAATCAATGGCCACATTAAGAGCTTCAGCTAAAAATACACCTCTTACTTTTCTTGTCATGGATGAAGGTTCAGCAAATATGTCACCTAGGCTAGTAGCAAGATGTGAAGTTCAAAACTTTATAATATCTATACACTGAAAAGTTAACTTAATTCGCATTCTGCAGCCGAGATGATTGTTGGCCCAACAAAAGCCCTTTTTCTGGATGAAATCTCAATTGGCTTAGACAGCTCAACTGCATATCAGACTGTTACATGTCTTCGACAACTGGCGCATATTACTGAAGCTACAGTTCTTATTTCACTGCTTCAGCCAGCACCAGAAACCTTTGATCTATTTGATGACATCATCTTGATGGCTGAGGGAAAAATTGTGTATCATGGACCTCGAGATTATGTTTTAGAATTCTTTAAGAGTTGTAGATTTAGTTGTCCTGAAAGGAAAGGAGTAGCTGACTTTCTTCAGGAGGCGAGTGCACCGTGATACTCTATATTCTCTGCACTGTTTTCTATCAAGTGAAAAGTACTCACATGTCAACTGTTTTGCAGGTTATCTCAAGAAAGGATCAAGAACAATACTGGGACCAAACTGGACAAACCTTCGACTTCGTTTCTATTGATACGTTCTCGAGAAAATTTAAGGAATCTCCTATTGGAAAGAATCTAAACGAGGAGATTTCTGTGCCATTTGACAAGTCCAGAAGCATCAAAGATGCTATTACTTTTAGTGTCTATTCTCTTCCTAAATGGTCTCTTTTTAAGGCCTGTATGTCAAGAGAATTTCTTCTCATGAAAAGGAATGCTTTCATTTATGCATTCAAATCTATCCAGGTCAATAATCCTAACAGCTTTCCCCATATTTATTCATGTACCACTTTCACTGAAAGTAGAAGTATCGTATTCTTTACAGAGTACGAAATACTAAGGTTTTCCTTCTCATGCAGCTCATCACTATAGCATCTATCATGATGACAGTGTTCTTGCGAACTCAGATGGGTGTTGACATTGTCCATGCTAATTATTACATGGGAGCTCTATTTTATTCTCTCATCATACTCCTTGTTGATGGATATCCAGAGCTCTCGTTGACTGTTGAAAGACTTCCAGTTTTCTACAAACACAGAGACTTAAACTTCTACCCAGCTTGGGCAAGTGCTATTCCAGCTGCCATTCTTAAGATTCCTTTGTCGTTGTTAGAATCTGTTTTGTGGACATCCTTAACTTATTACTCCATAGGGTATACCCCTGAAGCTGGGAGGTCAGTGGCATATGAACATTACCTAAATTTATTTATGTTTCTTCCATTGCATTTATGATAAACTCGTCATCACCGTAAGGCCTTGGTTTCGATAAATTACTCGTCAAAGTAAAATGTCATATTTTTTCAACATGATGGATCAATTCATAATAAAACGCAATTTTTTCTTCAGATTTTTCCGCCAAATGATATTATTTTTTGCTGTGCACTTGACCTCAATATCTTTGTTCCGTTTCCTGGCATCTGTTGGCCGGACTATGGTTGCATCTGCTACAGCTGGCAGTTTAGCATTAATATTTGTGTGTATATTTAGCGGCTTTGTGATTCCAAAACGTAAGTAATTTTACTTTCTTTATGCAGTTCTTTATTTATGAGATTTCTTGTGAGAACTTCACTTCCAATTTCAAAACAAGAAAAGAAAAATGCAAAATGACTAAGTTTGCAATGGTGGTTTTTTTTTTTTTTGCAGCCTCCATGCCACGTTGGTTAGTATGGGGATTTTGGATTTCCCCTCTAACATATGGAGAGATAGGTCTTTCAGTCAATGAATTTCTTGCACCAAGGTGGCAAAAGGTGAGTTCGAAATACATTTGAGTTAGTTGGTCCCGTTTTGCTGAGCACACATCAGCTTCTTTTCAGACGGGAACTGGACTTTGTTGTCTATCAGATATTATAATTTTCTCTAAAGCCATGACATTCCATTACTTTTAGTAAATTTGATCGAATCTAGCGGCATCCACTGTATGCTATAGCTTCAGAAACTTTCGTCTGAAGGGGTTAAATTTAATTGTAAACATTCATAATTTTGCTTTTGTTGGAAGTAAAAGAAGTCCCACATCGACTAGACATGAGAAATATGATGAGTTTATAAGTGTAGGGCAATACTCCATTGGTATGAGACTTTTTGGGGTTAAGCCCAAAAGCAAATCTATGAGGGCTTATGCTCAAAGTAGACAATATCATACCAATGTGGAGATATGTGGTGTCCATAGCCCAACACGTGGTATCAGAGCCTAGGGCCCATAAAAAAAAAAAAAAAA